TCTCATCTCTCTCTCTCTCTCTCTCTCTCTCTCTCTCTCACTCTCTCTCTCCTCTCTCTCTCCTCTCTCTCTCTCGTCTCTCTCTCTCTCTCTCTCTCTCTCTCTCTCTCTCTCTCTCTCTCTCTCTCTCATCCTCTCTCCTCCCTCCTCATCTCTCTCTCTCTTTCTCTCGCACTCTCTCTCTCTCTCTCTCTCTCTCTCTCTCTCCTGGGACCTGGTCCTTAGCCTTGGCCCTTGGCCCCGTCCTCGTTCGTCGTTCGTGCATGCGTCGGTCATCTCCTCCTCCCACTCCTCCTGCCCCCCCCCCCTCCCTCCTCAGGTCGTCCTTACCATCCTCCTCCCTCATCTCTCCTTCCATCTCTCATCTAGCCATCTAGTCATAGTCTAGTCTCTCTCTCTCTTTCTCTCTCTCTCTCTCTCTCTCTCTCTCTCTCTCTCTCTCTCTCTCTCTCTCTCTCTCTCTCTCTCTCTCTCTCTCTCTCTCTCTCTCTCTCTCCTGGGACCTGGTCCTTAGCCTTGGCCCTTGGCCCCGTCCTCGTTCGTCGTTCGTGCATGCGTCGGTCATCTCCTCCTTCCACTCCTCCTGCCCCCCCCCCCCTCCCTCCTCAGGTCGTCCTTACCATCCTCCTCCCTCCTCTCTCCTTCAATCTCTCATCTAGCCATCTAGTCATTTGTTTTTTTTTTTTTTGAGTTTTTTTTCTAGTCTATCAATCTCTCCTCCTGCCTCCCGCCTCTCGCAACTCGCATACCCTCCTCCCCCCGTCCTCCTCCCCCCTCCTCCTGCCTCCCGCACATGGTCCTTAGCCTTGGCCCTTGGCCCCGTCCTCGTTCGTCGTTCGTGCACGCATCGGTCATCTCCTCCTCCCACTCCTCCTGCCCCCCCCCCCTCCCTCTCCTCAGGTCGTCCTCACCATCCTCCTCCCTCCTCTCTCCTTCAATCTCTCATCTAGCCATCTAGTCATAGTCTAGTCTATCAATCTCTCCTCCTGCCTCCGCCTCCTCGCACACTCGCATGCCCCTCCTCCCCCCGTCCTCCTCCTCCCTCCTCCTGCCTCCCGCCTCCTGCCCCCCCCACGGTCGCCTTGCCGTGGCGCATGCGCCAGCCCGCATTCTTGGCCGCCTCAGTGCCCTGCCAGCCCCCCCGGCGCCCGCGGCCATCTGCGGGCGCGGGCCCGCCGATGGCGACAAGGGCGGCGACGTCCGCGGCGCCGCCCGCGGGGTCGCCAGCCGCGGGCGCCGGGGGGGCGTCGCCCCCGAGCAGATCTGCGACCATCTCCATCACCGTCTGGAAGGGGAGGCTGCCGGGAGGCTGTCTTACGAGAGAGCTTGAAGCCAAAATGGCTGAGCTGGGGGCGCGGGTGGCGGTGGGGAGCCTCTCCACCAACGCCCGCGCCCCCACCGCCCACCACCGCCCCCCAGCCATCTCGATGAGAAGGAAGGCAGGCAGGAAGGGAGGGGGGGGACGGACGCCAGATAGGACGGACGGACGGGCGGCGAGTCGGCGGAGGAGGCGGGAAGAGGACGAAAGATGAGCGGGGATGAGGGGGGACCAGGGGAAGAAGATATAGGATGCTGCTGAAATCGCATGTGATTCTAATCGTTTTTCAATTCTCCCGGGTGCCTGGTGAAACTTGGGTGCATGACCTAAGGCCCTCCCCCCAGTGACTGTCACAACCCCTCTTGTCACACCCCCGGGTCACTGTCACGCGCCCCCCCGCGTCACTGTCGCGGCCTCCCTCGTGACACCCCGGCGTCGCTGTCACAGCTCCCCGGGCAGGATTTGTAGAGAGGTCCCAGAACCAAGGAAACGGAACAGCCAGATGTATATACACATGGGCTCTCGGGGCTGGCGGAGCCGATCGCAGACTTGGCTAGGCTCCTGTTTCCTCACAGTCCTTGGTGCGTTCGGCCAAAATTGTTGTTACGCTAGCCAAGCGCAAAAAGTCCGGGCTACCCCTTTCACGGCCCCTCAAGGCCCCCTCCCCGCGAGCCACCCCCCCTGCGACCCCCCGCGCCCAGCGAGGCACACCACGCTCTGCCGCCTCCCAGGCCGGGGGTCCGCGGATGGGGAGGTGCGAGGGGAAGCGCGAGAGGGGGACCGAGGCCGATCGGAGTGTAACCCAGGAGGGCCAGCTCCTGCGAGCCTCACACACGGTGCCTCTAACATGTTTAAGGGAGAAGGCGGGCCGAAACAGCTGCTGCGCGAGCGTCGAACGGCCGCGACGCGATCAACCGTTTCACCTCCTGGCCCAAACATCTGCCGTAAACGTCGTATGTTTGGGCTGGCGGGGGTGGCGGAGCCGATCACAGACTGTGCTAGGCTCCTGTTTCTCACAATCCTCGTTATATTCCGCCATAGTTTTTTGTTAAGCTAGCCAAGCGCAAAAAACCGAGCTACCCCACGGTCCCTCAAGCCCCCACCCCCCTGCGACCCCCCGCGTCCAGCGAGGCACACCACCGCCCATAAAGGGAGCGCTCTGCCGCCTCCCAGGCCGGGGGTCCGCGGATGCGGAGGGGCGAGGGGTGGCCAAGTTACGCGAGCGTTGCACGCATTCAGGTTCTCCCTCTGGCTTCCAGCCGCCACAGCCTTGGCGCAGCACGTATCGGCCAGCCCTTCAGAGTTCTCAACATTGGTGACGGTACAGTCGCATACGGCTGAGAGGGGCACAGCAGCAGCAGCCAGGGTCACACGTAATCGAGACCAGAACTCATGCATTGCAAAGTTGCACCACTATGCTAGATATAGATGCGCGCTGCAAGGTGTGTCGACCATCGGCCTCTCACTGTGACTTTCGGGAGAGGGACTGGTCTCCTGAAAACAGAACTCCATGTATATGCGGCCCCTCCTCGCCAATATCGTAAGGTAAGAGCTTGAGATGATTCGATCTCACGCTTAGCTCGGCGGGGGCACATCTGAAACGCACGAGCGGAGAGGGGCCACAGGAGGACAGGTCCTGACACACTGCCAATGAGCGATTTCACCAGCTGGCGGCTCTTGTCATGGAGGTGGCACAGAGGAGGAGCCCGAGGAGGAGGAGGAGGAGGAGGAGGAGGAGGAGGAGGAGAAAGAATGAGGAGGGCAGGGGGGGTAGCAAGGAGGAGCTGGAGGAGGAGCTGGAGGAGGAGCTGGAGGAGGAGGAGGAGGAGGAGGAGGAGGAGGAGGAGGAGAAGGGAGGAGGAAGGATGAGGGAGGAAGAAAGAGCGGCAGGTCGACGACGACGGAGCCGTCGCCGCCGTCGGCACGGCCTGCGCTGGCCCGCCTCCGCCGCCGGCGGCGCAGAGGTCTCGCCGCCTCGGCGGGCCGGCGGGAGGAGCGGGCGGCGGGGCCTGGCTCCCGCAGAGGGCCCGGCGGCCTCTGCTGCCCCCCGGCTCGCGCTGGATCCGCGGCGGCTTCTGCAGACCTCTGCTCTCGCGGCCTCCCAGAGTAGCGGGGGCCCAGAGACACACGAGCGAGTGCACACAGATCCAGGGATTCCCCATACGTTTCCATTTCGTCTGGGATTGTCGGCTGCGCCCCCTCTTCCCATTGTTTCCCATCTTTTCCTGGGGGATCGACGATCATTTCTGTCTATGCGTTTTCCCTTCCTGATAGGTGGGGTCCGAATATAGATGGGGTCGGAGAGTCACGCTGCATCGGCGCCGTCGGCGTGGAGAAGATCGGGCTCCACATCGAGCCGTATCGCCGATGCATTCGCGATGCGGCGCGATCCTCCAAGCCCATCTAACTACTCTGATCCCATTCGGGAGGCATAGATATACGGCCGGGAATGTTTGGATAGCGTGTCGCTCCGCCAGTTATGGCCCAATACGCCTCGGCGCGACACACGGTCCACTTTCCCACTACTAAGCGTCAACATCCGAGCTTTCCCGAGCCTCCCGCCCAGCAGAACGGAGCGACACGATGTCGACTCGCAAGGTACTGCGTGTCGCCAGGGTCACCAGGGCGACGCGCTAAGCAGAACTTCCCGACTATAAAGTGGCGCGCTTCGCGCGCTTATGTTGCAGCCAAGATAAAGCCAGCGTCACATTAATCAGCGGATGGACACGCACGCCATCCTACCAAGATCACCACGTGGGAACACCTGCGCTATCGTGGGCATACATGTCTGCATAGCGTCCCCCCGCCTACTTTGGAACATCTTTCACGCGGATCATGCCCTCAGGGATCTCCACCTACGGCCCCCCGCATGTCTCAGCGCACCCCTCACCGGGATCGTGCCCCACAGGTTGCTGCGGCCCCATTGCATCACGGCCCCTTGCATAGCGGCACACCCCTCACGCGGATAGTGTTGCCCCGCAGGTAACTGCACTTAAAGAGAAGCTTAGCATAGCGCCGCCCCATTCACATCGGCACACCTCTAACACGGATCGTGCCCCGCACGAAGTTCGAATCCCGCCGCCCAGCCTACTTCGGCACACCTGTCAAACACTGATCGTGCCCCACACGGAGCTCCACCGACGGCCCCGGAGGCAAGGTTTGCACAGCGCCCCCCCTCGCCCATTGCGGCACACCCCTCACGCGCAACGTGCCCCACAGGGAGCACCACCCACAGCCCCAGAGACAAGGTTTGCAAATCGTCCCTCCGCCCATGTCGGCACACTGTTCACGCGAATCGTGCCTTGGAACGAGCTCCACCAGCTCCACCGATGGCACCCATGGGCAACTTCGCATGGTGCACACGGGTCGTGCACCACAAGGAGCTCCATCTGCGGCCTCAGTGGGCTGGTTCGCGCGAGGGCACATGGATTATTGGCCACCCCCTTCACGCGGATCGTGCCCCTCACAGAATTCAGCGCGCCTGTGCACGCTTGCTCCGCAGCAGCCCGCTATCAGCTCAGTCCCGCGGCGCGAAATATCTGAAGAGAGGGCCGCGCCCTGCGCTACACGGGACTGTATCGGGATGGGTCCGTCGCCACGCCAATTGTTTGCTCATGCACGGCCCACATCGCCACCCTGCCTGAATTTTGGGCCAGAGGCTTCTTTCACTCCTGTAACGAAGGGTCTCTTGGGATGCTTCTCGCGCGCCTCGTAGAGCGGCTGTTGAAACTTCTCGGGGCCTCTTGGGAACCGTTTGGGGGCCTCTTGCGGCCTCTTGTTGGGGTCCTTGGGGGCCTCTTAGGGGCCTCTTGGAAGCCTTTTGGGAATCTGCTGGCGGTCTCGGGGGCCCACTTGGGGCGGAGAGCTCGAAATGTGAGTTCGGGTCCTGGGCCGTCTTAGGCACCTTAAGGCGATCCTGGGGCCTCTGGGGCCGTCGGGGACGCCGTTAAGATTCAAAAACGGATCTGCTAAAAATCTTCGCTTTCTTTCGGGAATGCGGCAATCTTGGCCATCTAGGGGCGCTTTGTTACCTTGGAGCCTTCTCAGGGCGTCTTGGGAGCCTCTTGGGCCGTCTGGAGGCCATCTCGGGGCGTCTTGGGCCCCATTGCGCCTCTCTCGTCGCTTATCCGTGCTCCCTGGAGAATGCTTTGGGCGGCCGGGGAGAGGCACGGGAGGCGCCCGAGGGGGCAATGCTCCAAAGAAGAGGGGGGGGACTCCGGGAGGGCATGCCGGCCCGGGGCCCCAGGGCTCCAGTACCCTGGCATTTACACACGTGCATACATACATACATACATACATTCATTCATACATACATACATGAATTCATTCATTCATTCATTCATTCATTCATTCATTCAATCATTCATACATTCATACAGACATACATGCATGCATACATACATATATACATACACTAGAACCATCGCGCGCGCTTCGCGCGCGCTCAGGTTCTAGCAGGCCCCAGGCCTTGACGAATTCACTGCTCCACTGAAGTAGTGGACATCAGTACACGCATGCCAATCTGCATTCCGAAAGGTCTTCGAGGAAAATGGTGGTGTAGGGGGGCGGAGGCCGTATGAATCGGGTTCCCAGAAGGCCTTCTGAGAGCATGGGTTTGGGGGCGTCTTGGGGAGCCTGTTGGGGCGTGCCGTCGTCGTCGTCGTCGTCGTCGTCGTCGTCGTCGTCGTCGTCGTCGTCGTAATGTCGTCGTCGCCTATTGGGGCGCGGCGTCGTCGTCGTCGTCGTCGTCGTCGTCGTCGTCGTCGTCGTCGTCGTCGTCGTCGTTTCGTCGTCGTCGTCGGTTCGAGAGGGCACTTGGGGCAATTTTGTGCGAAACGATCTGCGGAGGGCCGCGAGAAGGCGATCAATCATGTTCCCAATCAACTTCCCAAACAGCTCTCCTGTAGCATGATGGTACTTCGAAGCCTCCGGAGACTCGCGGGCCCGTGATGAACCATGTCCCCAGAAAGCTTTCTGGGGACATGGTTTGTTGGGGTGTGTTGGGGGGTCTCTTGGGCGTTCCCTGGGGGCCCCTTGGGGGCCTCCGAGAACTCTCGGGCCCATGATGAACCATGTCCCCGGAAGGTTTTCTGGGGACATGATTTCTTGGGGTGTGTTGTGGGGCCTCGTGGGCGTTCCCTGGGAGCCCCTTGGGGGTCTCTGGGCTTCCTGGGGGCCTCTTGGGCGCCTCACGGGGCTTCGTGGGAGCCTCTTGGTGGCCTCCGGGGGCCTACAGGCGGCCTCTAGGGCCAGAGACCTCGAAATATCGGCTGGCGGTCCCCCTCTGGGCCCTCTCTTGGGGAGCTCTTGGGGCACAGATGGGTCGTCTGGGGAGCCTCCTGGGCCGTCTTGGGGCCCTCTTCGGGGCCTCGTGGCCCGTCTTGGAGCGATCCAAAGGGCCTCCGAGCGAGGCCGTGAGGGAGCGCTGGGAAGCGGGGAAAACGAGAACGCCTAAATCCTTCAAAAACCATCGGAAAATCAGTGAATCTTGCCTCCCAGGGCCCTCTTGGGGAGCCTCTCGAGTCCGTCCTGGAGCGTGTTGGAGTCCTCGTCGGCCGTCTTGAGGGCAGCTTGGGCGTCTTCGGAGCCTCTTGGGACCGTCTTGGGCCCTCTCGGGACCTTCATTAGCCTGTCGTGGCCTGCATCGGGGCGGGCCCGGGCCGTCTCGGGACCGGTCTGGGCCTTCTCTTGGCGCGCTCTTGGGTCACACTTGGGTTGTCTGGGGAGCATCCTGGGCCGTCTTGGGGCCCTCGTCGGGGCCTCGTGGGCCTTATTGGAGCGATCTGAAGGTTCTCCGAGGCCGTGAAGGGAGCGCTGGAAAGCGGGAAAAGCGAGAACGCCCAAATCCGAAACACTCGGAAAACGAGTGAATCTTGCCTTCCAGGGCCCTCTTGGGGAGCCTCTTGAGTCCGTCCTGGAGCGTGTTGGAGTCCTCGTCGGCTGTCTTGAGGGCATATTGGGCGTCTTCGGGGCCTCGTGGAACCGTCTTCGGCCCTCTCGGGATCCCCTTAGCCTGTCGTGGCCTGCTTCGGGGCGGGCTCGGGCCGCCTCGGGAGCTCTGGACCCCCCCCGCAACCCCTGGTGGGCACCGATGGGGGGAACAAGCAGCGGCCCGCCCTCCCCCGGGCCTACTCCGAGATAGAGAATCATGTTCCTGAGAAGCTTTCCGGGAGCATGATTTGCTCGGCTCTCTAAGAGGGGGGCCTCTGGGGGCTTACCGAGGGGCGCCTTTTGGCCTTGTCGGCAAGCATATTGGAAACATGGTTGGGGCGGTGGGCGGAAGCCCAAGGAATCATGTTCCCGGAAAGCTCTCTGGGAAATACAATTTACCGAAGTGTCTTGGGGGCCCGCAGGGGGGCTTCCCTGGGGGTCCCTTGTGGGCCTATTGGGGCTTCTGGGGGGGCCTCTTGGGAGCCTCACGGGGCTTCTTGGGAGCCTTTTGATGGCCTGTCCTAGGAGCCTCTCAGGCCGGAGACCTTGAAATGTCGCGCTCTTCGGGCCCTTTGGGTCGCTCTTGGAACTCTCTTGGGGCGATCTCGAGGCCCTCTTGACTTATCTGGGGAACCTCCTGGACCGTCTCTGGGCTTTCTTGGGAGCCTCTTCGGCCGTCTTGGAGCGATCTGAAGGGCCTCTGACACGGTCCGGGACCGTGGGGAGGCGGAACATGGGAGAGCGCAAGAATACTTCAAACATCGAATGGGAGAGCGAGAACTGGAAAATTGTTGACGCTTCGCGTATCCCCACCAGCCCATCCAGAAACGATGCTCAGGGGAGTTGAGGTGATCAGGGAAGTCGGGGAGCATGCAGAATAACAAAGGGCGGGGGAAGCTGTCACAGACCCCGAGAGGGGGAGGATGGAAGAGGAGTCGTCGTCGTCGTCGTCGTCGTCGTCGTCGGAGGAGGAGGAGGAGGGGGAAGAGAAGGAGGAGGAGGAGGAGGAGGAGGACGGAGAAGGAGGAAGAATCGGAGGAGGA